AGGTGGCTTCTGGAGAGAGGGGCTTGAGGCTTTCCTGAGCCCTCCCAAGTCAGATCCTGGCCCAGTGTGCCCATGAGGCTGGTCCTCAGCCCTGGCCTCTGCCTTGGGATGATCCCAGACCCCCGAGCTGGGGATACGCAGGGCACTGCACGGCAAGGAGTGTCCCTGAGACTCCCTGTGTCTCCTTACCTCATCATTGAGCATCCGGAGAAGCCAGCCTAATACGGAATCCTCTGCGCCAAATGAGGAACTCTGTGAGAAGAGTCCAGAGGACCATAGACTCACGAGATGTCCTGATGGGAGGAACAGAGGTGTTCAGGAACCCCTGGGCTGCTCTAGAAACCTCCCTCTTCCAGGGCCCACTCAAGACCCCTCCCTAAGTGCAGAACACTGGGCAGTGTCTGGAGCTCCCCATAACACCTTCCCCTTCCCGCACTCCCGGGGGACACACTGCCCTTAGCCCTGCTCTGCGGGAGCTGGGTCCCAGTCCCTGTGCCTCTGTCTCCTCCAGGGCTGGGAAAAAAACCCAAATCCCAGCCCACGGAGAACCCTATGTCCCAGGTCAGGCCCTGGCTGCCATTTAGCCTGTCACCAGCCCCAGAAGGGGCTCCAGCCCCCCGCTACTCCAGCCCCACGTGATGCAGGGCCTCTGGAGAAGAGTCCAGAGGACCATAAACTCACCAGATGCCATATGGTGTTGGGTTGTGATGAGGGCGCCACATGCTCCTGATGGTCTTGGAGCCCCTGGACTGTCCAGCCAGTTGGGCTGTGGAATCCTGAGAAGCCACCAGCCCATCATGAAATCAGAGCCCTCTCCCAAGATGTGGAGCCATAAGGTGGAAGAGCTGGGCAGCTGCAGAGGCCCCCAATCCCCGAGGTCTCCCACCTTCCCATCTGCTGACCCCACCATGTGGCATGGCCTGGGGAGGAGGGGTGGGAACATCCCCTGGAGCCTGGCTGGAGGTGCTCCTGGAGGCCTCTTGGGCCAGGGTGCTGGGAGGGCAAGGCTTACTTTGAGGCCAACACAGAGGGCAGCCAGAAAAGAGTGGGTGCTGGGCTTCGTGGTCATCTCCTGGAAGTGGCGTCAGGCCAGAGGACATGGGATGGGAAGATGCTGCCATCTGGGCTCGGTCAGCCCATTCGTGGGGACCAAGGGCAGCTGGAGCCCAGGCAGCTGAAGGGCAGGAAGACTCTCAGGGAGGGGAGAGTCACTGCACAGAATCAGAGCCGGAGGCCGTGGCTCCAGGACACAGAGGGCGGCCACGGGGAGGATGAGATGCCCTCTGCTGATGGGGATGAAAGGCGTCTGCCTTGGGCTCTGGGGGACAGCCCCAGGCTCCTGTGGGACCCTCAGCAGAGACATCTTAAAGGCTCCCAACAAGCTGGCGACACAGGAATGTGCCTTCACTCAAAGTTGAGATCACCTGTCCAGGATGGCCGTCCCTGGGTTTGGTAGCAAGAGGCCCCAGGGGCACCTGACCACCTACCCTGCGGGGAGTGCCTCTCACTGGCCAGCAGCTGTGCCAGTGCCCAGAATGCGTCCTCTTCGGGAGGGTACAAAAGGAACAAGGCGGCCACTTGGCTCAGGTCTCTGCAATAGCCCACCTCCTACAAGGGCCAGAGTCACCGTGGAAGGACTTCACTGTGGCAGGACATCACCTGGGTTCTGACGTCACCGGGGGGGACTCATGTCATTGGAGAGGACAGAGGTGACTGGGGAGGCTTCCACTGAAGAAGAGGCTTCCTCAGGATACAAATTCATTTCATTTCATGACAATAGCCATGTCCATCAGGCACTTCAGCAACTGATCAGAATGTCTCCTGAGAGCACCGTCGTGTGTGCGACACCGCCAAGCTCCTGGGCTTTGGGGCAGCCCCAGGAGGAAGGTGTCATTTCCTGCTCTGAGAA